AAGGTGTATAACATCTCAAGGGTTTCACCGATCACCACGCAACTTTGTAGGCATATGACCACACATAATCTGAGGGGACCCCTCCATTATTGACCCCATCAAACAAAATGGGGGCGCTAGAGAGCTAATTTCTTATCTAGGCCTAACCGCCATATCGATTTTTACTAAACTTGGTAGATATGTAGAACAGGACGCCTCAAGGTGACTGGAGAAATTTAACTCTAATTGGCAACTGGGTGGCGCTATAACAACAGAAAAATGCTTAAAAATGTCTAAAATGCGACCGATCGCTGTGGCTCCTCCTGTAGCCGAATGTTGTTGGTTTTTTTTATAATTTTTGGTATGACGAAGTCATGGTATGGTATGCTGCTGCAACAATATATAAACACTTTAACTATCTGCCTTTCAGCATGCTACCTCAACTACCAATGTACAGTTTTAGCCCACTAACTATCCCACTATTGGCAATGGTGCTACTGTAGTTTCAATAAAGCAATCGTACTATCAAATTCACAAAAACCCTGTCTGAATACATTGCTCTTCTTAATGGGTTCAGTTGACTATTTAATCTGCAATTTCCTACGACCTGTATCCCAAACACACACCATGTGAAACTGTACGTGGGCAACTGTGCACTCAATGGGTATGGACTAGTATACATAAATGTCAGAAAACACACCTGTAAAAATACATTTAAACAACTTCCTTGACCACGGAATCCTCTGCTTAAACAACCAGTTCCACCTATTTCATAACACACAAACACACACACACACACTCACGCTGGACACACGCACACTGTACACTCTCGTGCACATCACACACCCATACGCCCTATACACACGTTTCAAAGGGTATATCTTATTTATTTATTTACTTACTTATTTATAAGTACATTGTGCCGTATGAGACGTATTCACTCATAACTGGGTAAAAAGAGTAAAATCAGCCTCTTTTTCTCAACATCAAAGTCATTTCACACTAACTACATCTTTCATGGCTGTATAAAGGAAGATCACACTACAACACCTAAAAACATCTGCAAAAACACAATCAGGAAAGACACTATCGTGCACCTAAGTTAGTTACTGTATAAAGGAAGCAAACTCAATAAACCCTGATACTCTCCTTCCTTTAAAACACCTTTGAAGTTATGACTGGCCAGTTTTCTTTTTATTTACTACTATTGTATTGAAGAACATATACACATGATGCTGTATGAGACGTATTCACTCATAGCTGGGCAAAAAGGGTTAAATCAGCCTCTATTTCTTTTTCACACTAACTACACCTTTCACGGCTGGGTGTCTTTTGACAAAGACAAAGACATGAGTGGTAAAACTGCAAAATGCTTCAATTTTCCCCCAATATCATTAGCTGCTATAACAATATATTCTCCCACTCTAGTCTTGTAGCCTTGTCAAACCCCAGCATGCCTCTTTATCATGCCTCTGTCTATCTTTTTACCCCCATTAACACACCTCCAGCACAAAAAATACAAAAATCTTCTTGACTTGAAAAGGCAGCTTTACACTTACCTGTTGTTGACCATGGACCAGAGGAGAGTGGTCAGCAGGGTCCCCAAACAAATAAAAGTGAACATCCAACAGATGCGTAATTTCAAACGCAGTACCCTCATAACTGTCCCCTCCTGCTTACCATTAGCCGTCTTACCTTTTGTTCTTACACTCTATCTCTTAATGCTTTCATTATTTGGTCTCTCTTGCCTTCCTTTGCTTCACTTTACCCACCCCCTCCCTTCACCTCCCCTTGCCACTCCTACTCCTGCTCATCTGGATATTGTTCAATGTAACCTACATGGGAGATGTGTGACAATAAAAGCAGTTTTATTATCAATGCAAAGTCTGATTCATATGCATTCATTTGTAACAAAGTTTCCTTGTGTTATACAGTCAGGTCCATAATTATTTGGACAATGATACAGTTGTCATCATTTTGGCTCTGTACACCACCACAATGGGTTTGATGAGG